ACAGTCCACGTCTGGTTGGCAGAAGCCATTTAGTAGCAGTCAGATGAGAGAAAACAGTCACAGTCTGTGTCCCCCATTCCCACCAACAGTCTCCATAGTACAATAAACACAGTAGCTAGACCTTAATACCTTTTCCTCACATTGTGACACATCAGGGATAATTCAAGCTAGGTAAGGCATGTGTTTCAAGTTTGAGAATTAAAAGAAATTTAATAAAACCATAGCTCAAAGGCACTAAAATAAAAAGATTTAAAAGGAGACTGTGGACTTAAGGAAAATGTCTGAGAATCAACACATTGCCATCCTTATATATAAAATACATGAATTAGAGAGAACAAGGGCAAGATTCATATTTTCAAAATTCAAACTAATGTCAAGGGAGAAAGACTCTAGATAATGACAGTTACTTGTATTCAGAGGAAAAATACAGAGTTTAAAATAATTAGATAAATTATGATAGCTGTGCAGGAAAAGATGATCCAACATAAGAGTTATTGCTTTCTCTCAGGTAAAGACTCAACATATGAATGTGAAAGATAGTGAGTGATGCAATAGAGAAACCTTCCCTGAAGTGAAGAAGTGAGAGGGCACCAGTGTCTCAGTCACCTGGACAGACTATTCATGTCATCAACAAGAGAGAGGTATCTAGCTGTCTTCAGACAATTAATGGCCATATTCAGTGCTATCATTTAATAGAGCAACGAGTTAACAGGAAGAGAAGGGATGGACCATTAATAATAGTCCCAGAAAAAAAATAAAGAAAGCAGACATCTTTAGCATGAAATATTTCAAGGGTTAACAAACAAGCAGGCAAGTAAGCAAACAAACAAAACTAATTAGCAGTGAAATACAAGTAAGGAGGCATGATTTGCATAATAGACTCAGTCACAGAGAAGCCATAATAATATCACACTGGTGGCGAATTCTGCAGCCACCTATATATAGAATTAAGATCAAAGTGGCAAGGCAATTAATGTTGCAGAACAGAATGCAATTACTATGAACTCCGGCAAAGTTAAAATAATATAATTGTCCGAAAAACTGAAAATGAAAAAGTGTGAGGACAAATTGGAGAGGAGCTAATCACCTCAAATTGCACTGCAGGAAGTTAATGAACACTGCCTGAAAGTGACACATGGGGCGAAGGCATCCAGCTTCTAAATGCTATTCATAAACTTCCATCTTACCATAAAGACAAGCTTTAGAAAATAGTTGTTGTGAAGAAAAATTTAAGTTCAGTAATTCTTTTTATTTCAGATTGTATTTCTTCTACAAAATTCATATGATATATTATAAATAGCATGTATATGTCTCTCTTTCTACTTTTTTTATTTGTGCAGATGTAGAAATGTATAACTGTGATGATAGTCAACGTATATTAACAGATTTTTTTTCTGAGTTAAAGATTTTGGGATGCTTTGTAGGTTTTTCTTTTTAACTTGAGTAATGACACTGCGGTAAAATAATCATTTCACCTGAATTAAACACCTAAATGCAATATGATAATGATCATGATGAAATGATTATAGAAGCTTGCAGGTTTCTCTTTGCATGAACTGGTTTGTGTGAGAGAAAGAAACCCGCAAAGAGAGTTATACGGGAAAAAGATACCTAAAAAGGACAGGGCCGGGAGATGAGCATGTTGTGTAACCAGGAGCGAGTTTTGCTGAGCTTGCCTGACCCCATGGCTTTGGGTCTGAACTCTCTGAAGAAGTACTGATTACACAAGGCAAGAAACTGGTTGTAACCACGACCCGAGTTAGCTTCGGAGCTCTGATGCCGGGTGAAATGAGTGGGCACGGAGTGGGGAGCAGGCCACCCCAGCTTCGCTAACGCAGGAACCGTAAGGCAGACGGGCCTTTGCTTTGCTGCGGCGCTGCTGAAGCTGGAAGGATCTGCTGTGGCTCCTGGCACAGGGGCAATCTCCCACGCAGGGTGCTGGGATGGAGGGCCGTGCGGAGGCACCATCTCAACCGAAAAAGCAAGTAAGAAAGCCGCTTGGCTAGTATCAGACGAAGTTAGGTAACGCTGGAAGAAGTTCTAGGGGCCTGTATGATGCGAAATTACTGGTAAGAATCAGTGAAATGCAGCAAATTTAACCCCGTTAGTACTCTGGACTCATGAAATCTCGGGAAACAAACTCCAGTTACATTAAAAAACAAAAAAAGCCTGGTGATTACATGTCCGAATTTCGTACTATTTCAAAAATTCTAACATAATGTTCGACCATGTGCACTGAAGATTGATTCAGAATGCCATCATCTATTTAAGGTAGCCCCCAATTTCACATCCTTCAGTATACTTCCTCTTTGAAGAAAACTGTACACTTAATTTCACAAATGTTCAATGAGTGCTTACTCTCTGAAAACAGATATGTTTTCCTGTGAATGATATGACGGGCCACTTAGAAAACACTGATTTTTTTAAAGCATAAAGAAGAGAGTAGACTGTGATAGGTAATAATAGAACCCCAAATTCCTACAGAAGTGTAGTAGTGGGGGAAGGAGGCTAGTTAGCTTGTAGACAGTAGAAAGAGCCCCTGGTTTATGAGGTTAAGAGACTAGAAGTATGTGTCTGTGGGCAACTGCACTTTCTGATAAATAGAAATCTATTACCTTTCCATGTGTAGGATGAACTATCTATGTAATCAGAAGGTTCAAGTAAGAAAATTCTTTATTACAGAGCGGAATACTGGCTAAATACAAAGAAGGCAACCTGCTAGCATCAGTACAAGAAAACATACAAACTCACGCGCACACACACACACACAAATCAAAATTTCAGGGAGAAAAGTCTGTACAAATCAAAATCGTTGTACATAGTAGTATTCTCCTCAGCATAACTGAGTCTTTATAAGTACCTTTAGAATTTAATAGACTTGCTTATCTTAGACCTATAGGAACTTTGACATCTTATCATAAAAATATTTGAATAAAAATGTGTGAAAAGATTGACATGTACAACAGAATTTTTAAAATTTAAATCTCCCATCTACTAGTATTGCTGAATTTCTCTGTATTCTTTCTTAATCCAAGAATTAAGTATTTTGATAAGTTGCTACAAAACTCCCTTTATTAATGAGAGAACTGAGGCTCAAGGAAATTGTGGCTGGTTTTCTAAATCAGTAAAGGGGCTTTATGGTAGAGGTCCTGATGTGGAAACTATCATGGAAGAGAGAGTTTTCTCTTTACTTTAAATATCTATTTTTGTAGTGTATGTATAGAGAAATTTTCAGGGAGTAAGCGGGTCTCCTTCCTTTTCTGTTCTCAAGCGCCCCCGCCTGACTGCTGATGGAACAGGCCTCCAGCTTGTGACTTGCCACAAGCGTCGCACTTACCTAGAGGCCCGGGTGATGAGAGGACACGTGTGAAGGACAAGCAACGGGGCTGGAGGCGTGAAAGGCACACATGGCTTTCAGTCAATACAGTGGGTTTTAGAAATGCTGGTGAACTGGGTGCAAACTTTCCAGGGACAAAGGTTAGGAGCCTGACTGGCACCACCTCGTACTCGAATGCTATATAATCAGTGGATTCTTTCTTATTAGGTCAACAGAGGGAGTAAACGTTCATCCAATTTCCCTAGGAGAATCCCAGTTTACACCTGTGGTTGTACTTTCCAAAATGTTCCGGCTGAGAGGTAAATGCTATCTTTCTCTAAATTGTATTCCAGCCTGCCACTTCAATTTGGTCTAAAATGGATGCATTTTCCTATGATTACTCTCACCTCCCCATGTTAAGTAATTTCTTGATTTCCATGTATAAGTTTTCATTTCTTCAAATATTAAATTGTTCAATAGTGCCAAATACAACAGAAAAGCAGTAACTACCCGTGAGTGGTGGTGACTTCCAGTTAGAGGGGACACTGACATGTCCCCTTTTTCAGTTTTCATAAAAATAAAACAAAAACACCAATCAATTTTAATTATAAGTTCAATTATTTTTATAGTTAATCATGTAAGATTAGGTATCCACACATATCTGATCAAAATCCAGAAAATAAGGTAATCTCAGTCTAATTTTTCTGGTACCTAGAGTAGTAGTCAATATAGTATATTAGTGAAACTCTGCAGGCTCATATATAACAAAATAAAATTTAAAGTTAATATAATTATCCTAATTAAAAGTTTTATATGAAACAATGCTCTGTTCTGTTTTCACTTTGATATTTAAGGGGAAAAATGGCCTTGAAGCAAACTATCAAATTTTGTTTGCTAAGATATATCAGTAATACTGAAACATAATTCTAGTTTAAAAAATAAGTTTAGCAATCTTTCCATATTTTATATAATATTATTTCTAGTTTTTCTGTCTTAAATTTATTTCCACACCCACACATTTATCCCAGGGGAATGTCCAATAGAAAGATTCTAGTTAGATTTTGATGTACTCAAGAACACTTACTGACTTCTGAGAGGTAACACACTTAAACCAAAATGAACAATGTCTAAGTTATAATCTGAATTTTAACATGCTGCTAAGTGATAAAACACACACAGCACACACACACAGGCGAAAGGAGAATATTCTTACTTGGTTTAAATAATGTACATTCAGAAATTAATTTCTATGCTAAGACTCTTTGTCATCTCTTAGAAAATGCATGTTCATTAAAATGAAAAAGATCTATAATATATTAAACTAAAATAATTTACTCAAGTTAATGTTTTCAGCAAAAATTACTCAAGATATAGCAAATGCCCCATTTGAAATTTACTATAACTGTGCATTTTTAACTTCCATTGAAAATAGAGGGGCCCATTTTATAGACTAACAAACACAACACTGCAATTTAATTCGAAATGGTTTTCTAATCTGTTAGTCTGAAACTAACCTTCCCTAGTTTTCCAGTTTTTTCATTGTTTTGATTTCTTCAAGAAAGTCTTTAGCTTAAGGAAACTTAATTACATACTGCAGAGATAAGGGGGTTCTATCTTCCTATTTCAAGCTAACACATAACCTCTAAGTTATCTTTTACAGTAAGCCAAAGCCAGTATCACATACCTTTCTGGAATGAATTTCTTTCACATACAATGGAAGTAGAAACTCAGATATACCTTCAAGTCGGATTCCCTTCTTGGTGACTCTCAGATTTCCCATACCATCCTACAAGCAATGAAATATAGTTCACTTTTAGGTTAATTAGAGAATGAATAACTGGCCATAATTTTCTTAGGCCTAAATTGAGAAAACAGTAAGCTCAGTCAGTGATGATTTAAGGAAAATGAGAGATTGAATCTATTTAATGAATGATTGCAGCATTTTGCATGCATATAAAGGGCTCTGTTTAAAATGAACAGGATAAGAGAAGTGTAAAGGACCTGCTATCTTCTCTCAGCTCTCTTAGAGACTAGAATTTATCTATGAATAAGTCCTGTACTTTCTTCATGCATCAACCAGTTTAACTATTTATTAGGTATAATGATACTTGCTACCTATTAGGAACACTGTATTTGCAAATATCTAACAACATTTTTACATTACAGTTATACACATATTTCTACAATATTCAAAAGTCACATCTGAATAATAATTTCAGTGAGTAATTCATAATTGACTAGCGTAAACAAGCCTGGTGTTTCAGTATTCAAACCACGAGTAAAGTGTATGTCTTCTCCTTTAGAAAATAGCACTCTACGGGGCGGGCAGAACAAGTACTCAAATAATGCTTATGAGACAGTAAAATAAATAAGAACAGAATGCTGATGCGAATTTAAAAAGGAGATTTCAAAGCTGGCGATAGAGTACACCGTATCTCATGGACGAGATCGACCATGACAGAGCCGTAAGAATATGGAATTTCAACAGATGTCTGTAGACGGAGGAGCCAAGTGAACATTCTGGTGAAACACAGGAAACAGCAGTGTCATCCAATCTGGACAGTGTATGAAACATGGTCAGAGAATGAAACGGGAGTAGAGTTTGAGGCCAGAGAAAAGAAAGCCCCGAAGGCCAAGCGAAGGCATATGCACTCACTTCAGCGTCCAAGAGAAGAAACACAGAAAGTTCTTCAATAACTCAAGCGATCAGTGTGTAGGCTCTAGATTAATGTGGTAGGGATACTACGTGGAGCTGGCAGAGTATCAGCTCATGATGCACCACTTGGCATAGTGTGAGGAGTGTGGTGGAAGGACAGCCTGCAAGACCTCACCACTAACTCTATCTGGAGACACTGAAATAGGGAGCATTTACATTAATCCCAGACTTCACCACTATGACTAAATAAGGAAATGCAGTGGTTTTTACACTCAATCTTGAAATTTGTAGGCTGGATAGTGAAAATAAATTCAGCTTTGGACTTCCTAACTTTGAGGAATCATTGAAAAATTCATATATTTATTCATAAACCATCACATCTGTAGAAAGTGGGTTGGGGGATGACAATTACTTAAGGCATGCCTGAATCTATCATGATGGATGAGAAAGTAATTTGTGGAAAGATATAATTAAAACCAAGGAGAGACTTTTAGATAATGACTTAGGTCTGTGGAATGGAAAAGAGTATTTTATACATTCTGGAAGGCTATGATCAGTAATATAAGAGGAAAGCAAGAGATTATTATGGCCCAGTGTCTTCCCCTTGCAACTCCCCACCCCAAAAGAAAGCCAATGAAGTAGTATAAATACAATTTTGAGTAAGAATTAAAAGACTTTTAAGTTAGACAAGGAAGATGACTATTAAGGGAGATACATTCTTATGTGATAAGGTTTCAATCTTCTCATCAAAGGAGAAATAAATAAATTTTTGTTGAATTAAACTGGGAATAGGAAGGGGGAATCCATTTCTTGAGGCTCTGACTTAAAGCTGACACTGGAAATGCCAAATAGGGAACTGGTTAAAAATAAATAATAATAATAATCTGGTAGAATTTTGAGAATTTTAAGCATCATTAAAGACAAATTATGATGAGAAAATGGTCTACTTTTGTTGGGATGATGGCACACCCTGGTTTCTCTGAGACACCTGCTTATACCAGTTTTTTAATAGCCTCTATCACTTTCAAAAGTGAAAGGGTCTCTGATTTAGAGATTAATTACATGGCCACCGGTATCCTGACTCCATTTAGTGTAGTCTTGCACCATTCTACCTATCTAGGAGCAGACAGAGGCAGAATTAAGTTAGAGACTCAAAACTGAGCACAGGCCACCAGGAATGGCAGGGTCATATGGACGTGATGTTCTAAAGGAGCAAACATGACGCCCCTCAAATATCTGGCCATTATTTTTCTTATCAGATAGAGATAAGTCAAGTCAGTACAGCACTGTTGGGCTCCTGCAAAAATAGCACAAGGTCAAAGAATGATAATTGACAGACCTACACATGTGACCTCCGATTCAGCTTAAATAGAAATATCTTTATAGATCGTTTAATAAGAAAGCTTTTATAATCTAGAGCATACATATATCTCTTTGGGCTCAGATCTGCATCATGGTATTATGAAAAAAAGTTTTCTGGTAACAAAAATCTCTAGTTTCAAATGATTATAAAGTTCACCCTAGAAATGAAGCTCTCAGAACAAATTATTGATATTTGTACATTTAGGAACCATCATAAGGAATCTCAAAACAAGGGTTTCTGTAAATAAAAAATTCAGCATTTCATATTCTTTTTATGAACTGTTTTGCAATTACCCTCATCCTATAAAACTAAGTTGTGTGTGGGTGGGTGTGTATACTTTAATGTATGTGTGTATTTAGAAGAGGTGAGTTGCACAGGAGGGGCAGGTAAAATTAACTTGTTGAACTTAAAATTGTATACGTATCCTACTAACCAGGAACTGAGGGAATGTTAGGTAAATGTCATTAGTAACAGGACAGAAACACCATGAAGACACAGATGAGCAAGCTGATTCTCTCTGGGGGTTGAGGCAGTGGGGTTGTTGATAAGGTTTCTCACTTTGGATCATTTTATGGTTCACAGATCTAATCTCCACAGCGTTTTGGAGTGTACAGTATTGAGTTTATAAAGCTGTAGCATTTGGCCTCTTAAACTAAAGTAGCCTCTTAGGTTTTTAATATCTGAAGATTCTTCTCATCATCAAGGAGAACCTTTTATGCGGAAATGCAATGGGTCATCTCTCAGCCAAATTTTAAAAGATCCTATAAGTTTCCTTGAAGGATACTATAGATTTCCATCTATTTCACCCTGGAAGTTTGAGGATGGATTAAAAAAAAACAAAAAAACATGTAGTCTAACATCTCTTCTTTAAGTTCCATTTTAGGTACCAGTAAAAACCATTTGGAAAATATTTAAGATGACATGTTTGTCTACATTTTAGCTTTCACACTTTGTTATAGTTCCAAACGGCTTCTTTTCCAAGCTTTTTTGTCTGTCATATCAAGCACGGTTCTCAGCCTGTACTGGAATCCTTCTTGTGGGAACTGCCTCCTTCCCGCTCCGCCAACTCCTTTTCAGCAATGTGGTTCCCCCAGAAACTGCCATTTCCTTACATTCCACACATTCTCTCTCTCCTAAGTACTAGTTTAATGGTTCTGACATGCTTATAATACAGACAAGCAAGAGTTCGTAACTAATCCCAGGTCAGTCAATCAGACACTCTTATTAATATAACTTGAACTCAAAATTAAGAACAGCCAATTAGACAATTTATCTTTGATTGTAAAACTGAAGTTAATGGAGAAAACCAGAATATGCCTAGGATGAGAGATGGCAGAGGGGATAATGGAGGCTAATTCTACTTACCAAACATATCCCTGTTTCTAGTTCTTTCTGAAACACACATGCTTAACTATGTTTCCCAAATCATGTCCTGTTGTTCCTTTCAACACTTCCTTCAGTGTCATGATCCCACACATTCTCTCTCTCCTACTTACTAATTTAATAAGAGAACAGTTAAATCCATTTTAACAGGCTGCCTGCTTTATGTATTCATACTCCAACCTGGTGACCACATCCACTCCGTGGCGAAAATTCTTTAGTTAAAACAAGCTCCTTGATTCTTTCCTCTTCTCTCTCTCCTACCCCCTCCTCCCTCTATTTGGTTATCTCTGTCTCATTCTTTGTATAGCAATTCAAACATATCTTTATGAAGGCATCTTCCCATACAAGTTCAGAACGCTTCTCCGTATGAGATAATCTTCTGACACACTGATATTCTAATATTTATATAACATGCTAATATTTGCCACATACTAAGAAGACATAAACATACTGCAGGAGTCAATCAGAGAGGAGGAAACATAAACCAAATAAGTAAAACATTCTATGATAGTATCTATGTGGTATCGGATTCCTAAGGGTGTGAGTACCCTTGTTAAATAAATAAATGCATACATATCATTTATGTATCCCAAATATATGTATAGCACATCAAATACAGGGTGGAGCAAAAATAGTTTTACAGTTGATCATATGGAAAACAATGCAATAATTAATAAATAACAATACAAGAGTAAACTGTTTTTAGTACTCATAACTGAGTAAACCTAATTTTGCCCCACCCTGTATATTGATATTCTCCTTTAAAATTTATAAAAAATATATTGCAATGAAATTCTGAATCTAAAGGACATACTCTAAATTCTCATTTAACTTCTATTTATTGACCAATTCTTAGCACTTACATATTCAAATATTTTGTTAGTGAAACAATATAAATGTTATACAATGTCATATTCAAATGATAAAACTTATTTTTCTCTAAAGCTGACATAAATGAGCTGTAAGCATCTGGATTTAGTCCCAAGCAATTTTCTGTAGTACAACATTGGTAACAAAAATATTTGATGAATATTTTCAAAAAATATAGGTATATTTCAATTTTAATTTGGCAAGCTAGCATTCCATTGTTACAAATAAAGCATTTGTGAGAACACTGTCCTTGAATCCAAAGAGTTAATTAAATTAGAGGGCTAACTGCAATGCATTCCAGAAAAAACAACACTTCATTAACAAAGCATGTGATATAAAAAATCTGGATGTTTCAGATTTTCAATGAGATATAACCAAATGTTTTAGGTTGTTTTTCTCTCACAGGAATAAAGAGAATCTGCAAGAACATATTTGTACACATATAAAGCAAACTAACTTAAGGCATAAGTCTGAGCATTTGCTAGAGTTTGTGAAAGTAAAACTTCTTTGCTTA